GCGGTGAGTCCTCCGAGTCGGGGCGGCGAGGCGGGCGGGGCAGGCGCGCGCTCTGTCCAGGTGGCGGGGCTGGTCCTCTTGCGGGGTTGCTCCCACCAGCGTCCCTGCCCGAGAAGTAAAGGGGCCCCAGGCACAGACCCCGCGCCTCCTAGTAGACCGCCCCCGGGAGCCCACTCTCCGCATTCAGTTACTGTCGATATTCGGTTTCTTCTTGGAGAACTTCCTTGGGCACTTTCCAGAGGCGTTTGTAGGGAGGAGGCAGACTGGGAGTTGGCATACCTGCTTCAGTTCCCACTTCTCTCGCTGCCATCTTCTCCCCCACCTAAGACTAAGCTTATCCTCCTACTTCCCCCTCTGTGGCCTCGAGGGGTATCAGCCCTCCCTCAGAGCCACAGACCCCAGTTCTCGCCACCAGCGTCTTTCTCACGCCCTCTATTCAGGCTGTTACTAACGTGTTCTGCTCCTGCTGCGTGGTTGACCAGGCGCCTGGCTGACCTTGCACTTTGGAAATTGTGCCAGAATTCCTGCTTCTCTGATAACAAAACCTTAAGTGGTTCCCCCTTACCCCACCCCGGAGCAGATCCAGGATTTGTGGGACCTAATGCAGTTCTCAGAGACCTCTTTAAATCAGCTTTCAAAATTGCTGAGGCATTGGAAAGAAGCCAGAAGCCTGCGCCCCTGAGAGTTCAGGTTCATTGGTTTCAGGGTCTGTCCCCTCCTGCCTGATGAGCTGAGCTCTGGAACTTGACTGAGCTCAGCAATCTGAGGGAGCCTGTTGAAAATGGAGGTCCTGCGGTAAAGCCTCAGAGTCCATTTTTACCAAAATCGGCTGTGATTCGGGTGAGCCTATGACCCTGGATCAAGCTGGAACGCTGGGACCCCAGCACCTCTCCTGCCTTCCTTCCCACCACCTCCTAGTAGTTACACTTGGCATTTGCACCCTGGTTCTCAAACTTTGGTGGGTATGAGGATCACATGGCGAGCTCAGGCAGCAGCCCGGGCACACTGACACCTGGCTCTTTGTAGCTTGCTCATGTTCTCAGGTGATACTCATACCCACCAAAGCCTGAGAGCCTGTTAGGCTCTCGTTTCCTTGCACGGGCCAGTCTTGGCTCCTGCCTGCCTTTTCCCAACCTGGGATGCGATTCCTTCTCCTCTTCACCTCTGATTAACCCACAGTAAGTACGTCCTTCTCTTCATTACACCTGTATCACTCATCTGGCCCTAATCACACAACCCCTTGCACAGGACTGCATTTTTCTTGTGGGCTGTTGCATTTCCTCACTCCTACCAGTGAAATCAAGTGTTGGGCAGGCTTGGGGGTCATCTGTTACGTCTCCCCCCTTCCCTGAGCAAGCTAGGTTTGGGGATGTCAGGCAGAGGAGAGAGACTGAGGAGCAGCACGGGGCCCTGACCCACTTTCTCTCAACCACAGGGGAAGAGGCTGCTGGGAGTGACAGGCTCATCCATGAGCGGGACCTGGCCTGGCTGCAGCAGGCAGATGGTGAGGGGCCCTCCCTTCTACTGGCAGACTCCCCTGGGCGTTAGATCCCCTGGACACACCTGGCCTCCCTACCTAGAAGGGGCTCCCTAGAGCACCCCCTCGCCCCATCACACCCAGGCTCTGTCATCTCTCCCTCCCAAGGCCGAGGGTGAGCCTTGGTCTCATCTTTCTTCCCAGTGGTTGTGGCAGAAGTGACCCAGCCATCTTTGGGTGTTGGCTACGAGCTGGGCCGGGCTGTGGCCCTCAGTAAACGAATCCTGTGCCTGTTCCGCCCACAGTCTGGCCGAGGTGAGCACTCCCAGCCCTGGGTGGCCACCCCTGCCTCCCTCCCCAGCTCTCTGAGGACCTGGCCCTCAGCGCCTTCCTTGGGGAGCCCTGAGGCCACTGCCCACCCCCTAGAAAGGGACAGGACTGGGAGCCAAGACGAGGGCAGTGTGGGAGGGAGCCTCTTTCACCTCCCTCTGCCCTTCCCAGAACTTTCAGCCATGATCCGGGGAGCAGCCGATGGCTGGCGGTTCCAGGTGTGGGACTACGAGGAGGCAGAGCTGGAGGCCCTGCTGGACCGGTACTTTGAGGCGGATTCTCCCGAGCAGGTGCCCTGAGCCGACTGCTTGACTTAAGCCCAGTTTACTACATTCTTCTGAGCCCACGCTCTGCTCTAGTACCATTCCTACTTCTTAGCCCCTGAACCAAATTAAAAGGTGGGTTGATGATTCTCTTTCTGTCTGTATGGGGTGAGGGGCAGGTCCTCAGTAATATCCTCTTAACTCCCCCTTCACTTTAAGGTGTAGAGAGACCCTTTAAAAGTCTACAGGCTCCCAAGAGGAGGATACTTCCTAAAGCCCTCACGCTCCCACCAGGAACATTCAAGAGTTTGGAGGAAGCCAGTCGTGGGGGAATGTCCATTCCTCTCTCTGATACTTGGCTGGGTCCCAGCCAAGTGTACCCACCTGGACCTGGCCCTGTACCCTGTGGACCCTCATGTCCCTTTGTCAGCGTAGGTCACAAGGTCTGCTGTGGGCCCTCTGTGATGATGCAGTAGTATGGACGTCTAAAGAAAACAGTGGAGGAAGAGGAGGTTTGGGTGTGTGGGAGGGAGCGGGGAGTTGAAGCTGTCCAGCTAGCTTCCAGGGAACATATGAAAAGAGTTTTATTCAGTAAACAGAAGGTTCCACAGACACGAGGAACCACCTCCCCCTGCGAAAGGAGGAAAGGGGCGCCCGCCCAGCCCCTGTAGTCTCCTGACTCCAGGGCGGCTCCAGGCCCCCTGCATCCTGCCCCCTCAGTCATAGGCGTCGTCATCGTCCTCCTCGTCTCCAAAGAAGAACGTCTCCCGCTCCAGATTCTCAGAATCCTCATCATAGGAGAAGCTGTCGTTGTCCAGCTCTTCATCAAAGTCGTCCTGTTGCCACTCGGGCATGTCGTCATCTTCCTCCTCCTCCACCTCCAGCCCCGAGGAGCCCTGGGGCCTGGGAGCGAGCATCACACTCAGCCCCAGAGGAGGCATGGCATCTCCCCCACTACCCGCCCCGTCGCTCTGCACCCCCTACTCACTGACTGCCGCGCACGTTGGACCCTTTTGCCTCCCGAGCCTCTAATGACGGACTCTGGAGTCCAATCCGGAAATCCTGGCAAGGAGACAGGGGTGGTGGGGAGCAGGAGAGGACGCTGGGCTTCTGTGCCTGGCATTCCTGCCACCCACGTTCTCTGAGGGCTTATGAGGTGCCAGGCCCCTGCCTGGACCAGGCCCACCTCCTCCCCTCACTCGGCACAGTACTTCACAAGCACTGCCTTTGTGGAATGGCTCAGAGGTGCTCTCCAGGGACCCAGGATACCACCCTGGCGCTTACCGTGGGCATTCATGCTGCTTCTGCCCAAGTTACTTATTGCTCCCCGAGGGCAGAGTCCTAGCTTAAGACTCAGTGTCAGTGGACTAGAGCTGGAAAGAACCTTGGATCCCTGGCCCCAGTCCTACGATTCTGAATCCACATCTGGGGAGAATCTTCTGAAAAGGTTCCCCAAGTGATTCTGAGGAGCAAGCACTGGCCAAATACCCTTGATCTGGGCTGACTCCTGTGTTTTGTAGGCGCCAGGCAGTGGATGGGCAGGCAGGCTGGCCTGGAGCAGGGACATACATACACCCAGGCCTCCCGGCACATATTCGCCCTCCATGCCTTTGCTTCAGATCCCCCCAGGGCTGGAGGACCCCACCGTGTGCCAAGTGCGGGGAGAAGGGCAGGTGGGCGGTACCTGGGTGGAGTGCTGCAGGATGGCCAGCAGCCGCTCCTGGACTCGCCGCAGCAGCTCCAGGCCCGTGTTGAGGTGCTCGGGCCGCAGGAGGCGCAGTGAGGAGGCCAGGTCTCTGCCTCGCAGCAGGGTCTCCTCTGCGAGGGGACAGGGCACAGGGGATCCCTCTCTTCCCTTCCTTCTGCGGACACCTACTGACACCCACCCCTCTACCAACATTTACCAGGCACAGGTCTGGCCACTCACTCCCACGGGGCTTACACTCTAGGGGTGGGGACAAGTTGTGTCAAAGGAAAGGTCATCTGAGGCTCTGGCCTGTACATCTGCAGACCTGAATTTTACAAGGCTGATGGCAATCAATCAGGCTCTGAAGCACAGGAAGCGTGAGAGGTGGGGTGGGTGCTGGGGCAGGGGCCTCACCAAGGAGGATCTGCAGGGCGTCGGTGTGCAGCTCCAGGTTCTTTGTCTGCTGTTCTACCACATCCATGTGCTCTGTGTCCTGGTTGTAGAAGCTGTACACGCAGGCGTAGGCGAGCACCTGCGGGGGCCGTGTCAGCCCGCTCTTGCCAAGGCTGCCTCCTCCCTCCCCCACCTGGCCCAGCAGCCCCCCAGCCCAACAACCTTTCGCGCCTGCTCAAGACCCTGGCAGGCGTCGCTGAGGAAGGTGAAGGATCTGGGTGGGGGCACCTCATGGATGGCAGATACGCGGTTCCGCAAGTTCACAGCGAAATCCTGTCGGGGGTGGGGGGTTGGGGGTCAGGGCCGGCACAGGCACCCCTGCCCGCCCAGTCACACCAGCCCTCCTTGGACCTCTGGCCCTGCCCGCCTGTCTGGCCCTGCCCTCTGACCCCCTCACCCACCCAGGTGTCCCCTCCCTGCTCACCCGGGCCTGGTGATGGAAGGTGCACCGCTCGTTGTAGTCCTGGAACCGCTTCTCCTGGCGAGCTGCTCTGCTCACCTGGTGAGGACAGGTGGAGAGGGCTGCTGGGTGGTTGCCAGGATAGGATGAGAGTAATACTCAGACCAGCTACCATTCATGGAGGCCTTCTGACACTTTAGCCAGATTTCTGCATTTAATCCTCATAACTCTGAGGGAGGTCGGCCTATCAACCCCTTCTACAGATGACGGTGCTGAGGCTTAGACAGGTTAAGTGACTCCGCAGTGGAGCCAGGCTCTGTCTCAAGTCCTTGCCCTGCCCTGCCGTGCCCTAGTACCCCGAGAGTGCCCGGCCCACCTGGCCTCTGCAGCCACCTCAGTGTGAGAAGTCCAACTCTGGGGCTGAAGGTCCCTATGCCCAGACCTCCCAGGACAGAACTCCTAGCACCTGCAGGCCCAGGTGGCTTCTGTCTTCGCCCCACTGAGCCTTTGCCCCAACAGCTGCTCGGCTGCTCTGGACACAGAGCCCTCTTTTCCCAGGGCCTGGCCGCAGCATCCCATCCTGACTCCTCCGGGAGCCAGCCCCTTACCATGGCGGAGCAGTTGTAATAGTCCTTGTGACTTGGCTTCCAGGACTTGAGGCAGCGCCAGCAGAATCCATGGTTGCACTTGGCACAGGTCATGCTATGGAGGAAGCTAGATGGTCCGAGGGCTCCTGGCTCTGGCCAGGGCCACATCAGGAGCACTAAGGACGCACCACTGAAGACACTTTGACCCCTCCCTTGCCCTCACAGTCTTCTGAACCTGACCCATCCCTACCGACCGCACCCTGGCTTCTGTTTCCCTCACAAAGCACAGACTTAAGAGTGGGGGAAGGAACACTCAGGCCCAGGAGTTACTCTAGAGGGTGCCCAGAAGGTGGCTGAGTAGCTGCCCTTGTGTGCCAAGCTTTCTGGTAAGCCCGAAGCCCCTTCCTTCCGCCTGGCCTCCCACCCTCTCCCATGCCCCCGACCCCACCAGTGCCACAGTAACCCCTTCTTACTGCAGACACCCCTCATTCTTCTCAATGGGAGCCTGACAGCTGGGACAGCGCTTGGAGATGAGCTTGGCCAGATGTTTGCTCTGGGCCTCGACGCTCATGCCATCATAGTAGCCGCCGTCATCAACCCACTGAGACATGTGGCCACAGCTGGCAGGGTAGTGTGCCTAGAGCAGGAGGGGGCAGTGAGGGCACAGTTCAGCCCTTACTGCGTGGGAGAGAGGGCGGGGGGGGGGGTCACATCGGGGGGACGGCAGCAGGCTGAAGACAGGGCCACAAGGGGTATAGATCCTGGCTGGAGGGCAGGGCAGGGGTGGGCGCCCACCTCAGGGAAGCTACAGTTGAAGCAGGAGGCCCAGCCACACTTGGAGCAGGTGGTCCCACAGCCCAGGCCCTGGCGGCACAGGATGCGGTCGCAGCCCTGGGGGTTGGTGCACCAGGTCAGGTTGGAGCAGCTCTCCACGTAGCCACGCAAGAGGGCCTTCTCGTACTGGGGGGATGCGGGTGGCAGGAGGTGAGGGCCTGGGACGCCACACCTCCAGGCCCCCCACGCGTCAGCCCGCTAGATCCCCAGGGCTGTGTGCTGGAGCCTCCCAGGGCAGGGGTACCTTGGAGATGACTTCTGGTGAGGAGACGATGGCACGGATGAAGGCTCCTGTGGGCTGCGCGGGGCAGTCAGCAATCGGGCAGGTGCAGTTCAGCACAAGGTTCTGCTCGATTCGAGTCGTCAGATACTCATTCCAGCAAGACTAGGAGGGACACAGGAGGGGCGGCATGGGAGCAGCATAAGAGTGACTAAGCCAGCGCCCCTCCCGGGGTGTGCGAGGCCACACACAGCCTGCTTCGACAGTAGCCTCAAAGCGGACCCTAATCTTTCCGGCTCCCAAGAGTTTTCCTGAGATTGGCCCAAATTTCAGTTTACTTGGAGGATGTACAGGCTGTGGTAGTAACCTGAATATAATCATTGTTGAGGTGGACCTGAAAGGAATGAGTGAAGAGAATCAAGAAAAAGGAGAAGATTCAAGTTGTAAGGAAGATTTGGAGAAAGCAAGAAGGGAGGCCGGGGGGCCGGCCGGGGCCACCGCACGGAGGCCTGTCCTGCTCCATCTGCTCGCCTCACTGCCCGGCTCCATGCTCCTGCCTCCCTGGACTCAGCCTCCTCAAAACAGCCCCGTCTGCTGCACCCCCAAACCCTCCTCAGCCACCCCGCCACTCCCCCATCACCAGTGCTGGAGCCTTCACGACTCTCAAATCCTTTTCTTGCTCCCACATCCCAGGCCATCATCCCCTCTCACCTAACCTGCGGTGGGAGCCTGTCCTGAGAAAAGCTCTTCCCACCCTTCTCCCCGCACTGCCGGCGACGTGGCCTGAGCACCTGAGCCTCCAGAAGACTCCATTAACCACCCCATCCTTACACTGCTGACTGCCAAGCCTCCCAGACAATACAGCTCGACTGCAGGGGAGCGGATTCAAAGCTCCGAGAGAGATAGGAAGTACTTTACTGGACTATTTTCACTCAAGGTATTAAACAAAACAAACTCCTTTTTATAGTGAGACAAGCCCAGGTAAATCGGGAAGTTGAATGCAAAATTCTTGTATTTTTGAGATCATACAGAGAAAATTTCTCCAAGTTCGGACGCCCACACTGGCAGGCACACAGGTGCCGTGGGCTGGGAGCACTGCTCTGAGGGACAAAGGCCAGCATCCCAGTCCGGAGCCCGCACCACTCCCCCAGGGGGCCCCTCTGCTTTGAGCCTGCCCTTGGTTTACACTGTCCCCACTGCCTGGCTCAGATGGAGTGCAGTCTCCAGCCTGGACTCTCCATCCCGCACCCTGCCCCGCAAGCTTCACCCCGGGAAGCCTCCTCCAGCTGCTGCAGACCCCAGGATTTCCCGTCTCTGACCGCTCCTGCTTTGCCATTTGTGCCGCTCAGCTGTGACTTATTCCTAGGCTCCTCCTTGCCTGAGACATATTCAATCAGCCTGTCTTTCTCAGTCCCATTTTCAGGTTCCCTGTCTCATCTCTATGGGGTCGGGGCATTCCACGCTCAGCGCCCTGGGTGGTACCAGCCAAGTCTCTCCACTTAATTCCAGATTCAAAAGTCTACTGTCCACTGGCCAGTCCCACAGTGTCCAACAAAGCAGCTCAAACTACATGTGGCCACAACAGATTGAATTTCCCCTAAAAAACCTGCCCTCTGCCCCAGCCCTAACGTTTCCTCCAACCTAGTAAAAGGTAACATCCCATCCTCCCAGAGGCTCAGTTCAAAACCCCAGGAACTGCCTTGATTCCCTTGTCCTAAGTCCCCACTTCTCACCCTGTCAGTGCCACCTCCAGACGTGTCCCAACCTGTCCACTGTCCCTATGCCAACTGCCACCATCTCTTGCCTTAGTACAACAGTCTCTGAACCAGTGTCCCTCCTTCCACTCTGGTTCTGTCCAAGCCTTTTCTCCACACAAAATGATCTTTTCAAAAATGGAAATCGGATCATATCACTCCCCTGCTTAAAACCCACCATGGCTTCCCATGAAGTAAAAGCCACTGTCTCTGATGTCAACCCAGTCGGGCCCCTGTCTGCCTCCCAGATTTCCTCCTCCTGCTGTCCCCCAGCATTCCCGGGCTTTAGCCACCAAGCTCAGCTTCTCTGCACTTGCCGTTCCTCCATCTGCCATGCTCTTCCCAAGACAGTCACCTCCTCGGACTGGCCTTCCCCA